TGGCATCACCACTACCATTGGTATCCTCCGTCGTATGGGTGAAACTATCATGTTAATCATGGATGGGGATGGCTAGGTATATAAGTAGATGGTAACTGCAAGTATAATGGTTGTAGTGAAGAAGGTGCGACTCAGGTTAGTTTTATTGGAGCATTAATGTACTGGTCAAAAAATATAGGTGTGCATGGTATCTCTATAATGGTAGGGGATATCATAGACCTTAGTAGGTTTATAAGAATTTAGGGTGGTTAGGACTGACCCGTAGCGGTGAGAAACATTGTATGGTGATGTTACAGTGGTTTTAGAGAACCTACTCATGTGAGGTAAAATACTCTATATACTAGTGTGTAGTGCTTAGGGTAGTCTATGCAAGTTATATTTTGTTCTCTCCTATTACGAAAGAAATATTTATAGAGGTCTTTGTGCCTATAGTTTTTTTTAGAATGATCACCGCCTACTTAGTAAATGGCGGACTATCAAATCCATATTTTCTAGAGAGTCATGGACACCAAATACTGATCTTGACATCTTTCTGTCATAGAAATGTATTTTCTCACATTTTCCCTATCTAAACGAGTGGAAGACGCTAGAGACGAGGTTGTGCCTCTTAAAAGTTACACATTATCGTCGCCCCTTCTAGAAGCTACAAAGCTCTCACCCTTACCTGATCTTATATAAATATAACACTATAGTCTCTTTTTATAGATTACTAGTAGAAAACCTGTGCTTCCGCACCGGTAAAATAAATTTGTAAATATATATATCTAATTTTGATAAATATATGTGTATAAGAGTTAAATGAAAGAGAATGCAATTAAAAAGAAAGCAATATAAATTAACAATACAAAAATTGAATATGAAACAACTAATTTAACTTAATGAAATGGTAATGTTGTCAACAAAGAAGTAAAGTAATAATAAATAGTAAAAGAGAAGTACTACAACAAAATGTCATCTAACTCATGTTGCAAAATAATGTGTCTGTTGGAGTTGGTATCACGATGTTCAGTTGTAAAAAAAAAAGAATTAGAGAACAATTTGATCATTTATTGTAATGGAAAGCTTAACGACAGAGAAGAGTATCAATGTTATACCTACTTAATATTGTGGAAAACTTCTTTGAATACAATGTTAGTGGTAGTAGCAGTGGTATTGTTATTTTTATCATGAATCAAAATTTTAAGACCTTGTTTTGTCTTAACTCGGGACATTGCGACATACAATTGACCATGACTAAATACATCATTTGGCAGGTATAAACCAACTACGTCTAACGATTGGCCTTGTGATTTATTAATTGTCATAATGAAAGAAACAATTATGGGAAATTGTCTTCTCACTAACTTAAATGGACATGGTGATTGAAAGGGGGACAAAGAAATTCTTGGAATATAAATGATGTTACCTATATTCTTTTCTGAAATGATCCTAGCTTCAATAACATGATTAGCCAACCTTGTAACCGTGAGCCTTGTACCATTGCATAAACCTTTCGATTGATCTAAGTTTCTCATCAACATAATAGTGGCACCAATTTTCAACTTTATAGAATGATTAGGTAATCCAGAAGTTTTAAGAGCATTTAGAAATTCATCAGTTAAGTGCTCAAATGCATCAAAGTCGGCTGATGTTGATCTATTAATAGAATCACTACTAAAGTATTCCTTTTCTTCTCCTAAAAGGAAAAAAAATAAACAAATGATAAAACAATTAAAAAATGAAGTCAAATATGAAATTAACATGAAAATATCATGAAAACAACTTCACAACATGTATATTACCTGGAAGAAGATCTGTGATATATTGATTAATCTCATCGACAACTTCAGTTGTTGAAGCCAAGATAGCACGACTTTGTAAAAAATTGGGGTCATGGTAGTTATGAATGAGATCGAGATAGGTACTATCAACAATAGCCTTAATAGGATGTGAAAAAATTAAAATTAAAAACTCTTCAGGAATATTAATTTCAACATAACCATCATTAGCCTCACCCATGGTACCATATCCAATTGCTAAAATCCACTCAGAAAATATACAAACTTCTTCAATTTGTTGTGAAGTTGTCCCACCTTATAGGCGCATATTTTTTGTAAGCTTGAGGACTTTGCACTGATCCGAAATATAAGAAGCATTGATAGCTGAATGAATAATATCAGATCTACTACCTCTTGGAACAACGGGAAGGATTTGCCTAAAATCACCACAAAAAATAACTACTTTGCCTCCAAATAATTTATTTACAGCCTGTGGAAATTCACTCATAATGTCTCTAAAGGATTTATCAAGAGCCTCAAAGCAAACTTTATTAGCCATCGGGCCTCATCCCATATAATAAGATCTGTTAACTTTAAAAGCTCAGCAAGATCGTCTTTTTTGTCAATGTTGCAAATTGAAGAATGCAAAGTAGGGACAAATATCTTAAACCTAAAATGTGTTGTTCTTCCACCTGGTAACAACAGACTTGCAATCCCACTTGATGCCATAGGCAATACAATTTTATGTTTAGAACGAATAGCAGCAGCGAGTGTTCCACATAAATGTTTTACCTGATCCACCATAGCCATATAAAAAAAATACACCACCATTTTGTCTGTCTACGGCATCCATGACATCAAAGTAAATGTGTTTCTTGCTCATCTGTAAAAATACGTCATGTGACAATATGTTTAAAAATGAGAATTTAAAGCATTATTAGGCATTGAGGGAATCAACTATAAATAATATAAGTTATAAACAATAAGTATTGTATTTATCAATATAATAGTTATAAACATGAAATTAGTTGGAAAAATATATAGTTTAGGAATGTCATTTTACCTGTAAGAGATGACAAAAAAGTATCAAAAAGATTTTTTTGAGCATTTGAATCATATTGCCTTTCTTCATAAATCAGACGGTTTCCAAGAAAAGAAAGTACAAAGTCATTTGAATATGGCATTAACTTGAAATCATTCAGACTTCTATTGTTCTTTTGTAACTGAGTTTCTATTTTAATCAGAGTAAGTTGTTTTAATTCTTCATCAATAAGTGTTAATTCTAACATAGACAAAACAAAACAGTGTCAATATAACAATTAACTTGTGAATAAAAGTAAGAAATTGAAATGCATATAGGGTGTACCTGGATTTCTTGTTATGACACGTTTATTGTAAAGAATACCATTAGTTAAGTAATTCCATGGTTGACTCCAAACATGCTCAGGTCTATTCATTGATGATGATAGCAACATACAAACAAATAAATTTCTTAGAAATAAACCAGAACCCCATTGATGCGCCTCCTTTAAAGCCCCAATAAATTCTCTATCATCTTGTAGAAATCCCATTGCAAAACATGCTTCTCTAAAAGAGTTATGTTGTAAAACATCGACCTTTTTGATGTCTTCATAACTCGTTGGTCCTTTCTTAACAGTAAGCATCATTCGTAAATAAAATAATTCACCTGTGCTTTGAGGGACCCAAATGAGACGACCAATTGTATACCCTCTTTTTCTAGGCTTCAAAGTCCTAGTTTTCTTTTGGTAAACAAATTTTGTCACAAAGTCACTATATGTCAACAACTTAGCTTCATCATATTTTTTGTTCGCTTCAAACCATGCAGTAAACATAGATTCTGTAACACTTGATTTGAGTAGAACATTACCAATTTGCTCAAAGTCTTTGTAGTAAAAAGAATTCTCACCTTCCATGTGAAAAAATAGTCTTTCCACGGATGGTTTCCTACCATGTATAGAATAAGAGAAAATCCTCCAACATGCCTCACTTGGGGAAATGTATCTACAATCAAGATATTGCTTGATCTCATCAACATTCTTCTTCTTACCATCAGCCATATCACCAGAAGAATGAATAACAACAGAAATTCTATCTGAACCCTTGTTAATATACTTGAATAAGTATTTAATCAAAGTACTTTGGTTGCACCATTCCATGTTGATGTGCGCCTCGTACTTCAATAATAAACTTGGGTTGTGAGGAACTACATGTCCGTTGTGAAGAATGATTCCATTTTTATCGATTGTGTGTCCATTGTCTCTTATCCTATAAAGTGGATAGTCATCTTGATCAACTATGGTTGTTGACTGGAACTTTTTTGGGTAATACTTTGAAAATTTCCCATCTTTCATGCAAGGTGAACTTTGAATTGCCAATCCACAAGGTCCATGAACCATATGAGTTTTAACTAAGTTGTATAACTTTGGTTCCTTCGCAGGATCACAGACTTCAGCACTTATAATCCTGTAAATATCTTAGGGTCTTGGATATTTGTCAGAAGGATGCAAGAATATCAAAATATGTGCATGTGGCAACCCTCTCTTTTGAAACTCAATGGTGTACACATCTACAAAAAAAGAAGTAAGTAAAAAGTAAATTCTAATAATGTGTAACAAATTGAAAAGTTACGGTGAGAAAAGAAAACATACATGCAAGCACCTTGCCTAACACTCCCCTCTTTGTCAAATCTAATAGAAGCTGATCAAACTTGATTTTAAAGATCCTCGAAATCACATCAGGACGATCTTGGGGTTTTAGTCTAAGAGGTCTAAGTAATCTTTGTATTTCAGGCCAATATGGATTGCAAGTGAATGTTACAAATAAATCAAGAAACCCCACCTTGCTACAAATAGTCATTCCATCATAGTACAATTGATCCATAAACCTCCTTCCACCAATATAAGTAGAAGGCAAAACCACTCTTTTTCCTGTTGAAGAACCATGTGTTTCACTTTCGTCACCCACTTCAGTAAGACTGTTGTATTTCGATACCCTTAATTTAGGTTGATTTTCACGAATCCATTGAAGTCTTTCGGACTCTAACATTGTGTAACCATCAACTAAGAATTATTGAAAAAACCTTCTTGAAGCCAACAAAGTTTTAGCCTCACATGATTTGTTCTGAATGCGAAATGCTAGCCACTCTCTAATTGCAAGTCTATTTCTCTTGTTGTCTTGGAATATATTTAAGTCTCGATGAGCTATGTTTGGTCTCTAACCATCTTATCTACAAGAGAAAATTAAAGGATACTGATACGCCAAGTAACTTGCATGGAGCACATTAATTCTTTGTAACTCTCCACCTTTAGTTTGCATGATAATATCCCTCATTTCTGCTGTATCAAGATCACCAACTATCAAAGCAACAACCTCAGAAACAGTTGGTTGATTATATACTCTTCCATCTGTGGATCTATTAGAAATGAGTCCTAATTTCAGGTTTTGTGTATCTGAATTCAATAACCAATGTTTGGCCATCTGAAAACTTTTGGCATGAGGGTTATGCTTGTAGAGCATACCTGACAATTGTTGTACAATTACCTGATCAATGTTTTTTGTGTTCCTGTAAATGTAAATGTTTTATTATGTCAAATATAATATGGAGTAGTATGAAAGGAATAAATTGCAACACATGAAGTGTATAATTTATGGTAAGAAAGTAATGTATGTCAAATAGTTATACCTCAAACCCTGCATTCTGTTATGGACCTCATTGTCCGTGTCAAAAATATATAGTTGTGCAAATTTAGGTGGTTGACCTTCTGGTGGAATCAAACTTCCAATATGATGACATGATTGACCTTGAATTCGTAAAGTGAGTGGTCCACCTCCATTGTTGAAACGGTTATCCAACTTTGCACCTGGTGATGTGAAGGCAAACATCATGTTGTAAATGCGAATTTGTTGTCGAAACTTTCTGCTAACTATATCTTCATCAAAAAGGAGATGTGCTAGTAAAGGAGGGGGTTGTTTGAGTAATGGTAGTTCGACCTTTCCGTTGCCACAACTCAATGAAAATTTGGGATTGGCTGAATGAGAACTTTTGTTCATTCTCTCTTGATACCACATCATAACTTTACAATAACGACACTCAATTAATGGATCACTAATGTCGTAATATTCTACAAAAAAATATAACGTGTTATATAAGAAAAATAATGCCAATATATAAGAATTTAGGGTGGTTAGGACCGACCCGCAGCGGTGAGAAACAAACATTGTATGGTGATGTTACAGTGGTTTTAGAGGACCTACTCATGTGAAGTGAAATACTCTATATACTAGTGTATAGTGCTTAGGCTAGTCTATGCAAGTTGTATTTTGTTCTCTCCTATTACAGAAGAAATATTTATAGAGGTCTTTGGGTCTGTAGTTTTTTTGAGAATGATCACCGCCTACTTAGTCAATGACTGATTGTCGAATCCATATTTTCTAGAGAGTCATGGACACTAAATACGGATCCTGACATCTTTCTGTCATAAAAACGTCTTTTCTTACATTTTCCTTATCTAAACGATAGGAAGACACTGGAGACGAGGCGATGCCTCTTAAAAGTGACACATTATCGCCGCCCCTTTTGGAAGCTACAAAGCTCTCACCGTTACTTGATATTATATAAATATAACACTATAGTCTCTTTTAATAGATTATACATTGTTGCATTATAATCATGAAGTTTTTTATTTTAAAAAAATGCATTATAATTATTAGTTGATAGTTAGTATAATGTGACATATCATAACAATGTGATAAGATATGATTGAATGTTATAAAAATGTATAATTATTATATTATTAAAAAAATTGTTTTATTTATGCAATACATAAAAACGGAGATAATCCGTAACCTTTAATTCATATGATAATATTAATATTATCAGATTTAATTTTTTATTTTAAATTTATGTAAAATTTCATAGTTATGTTAATTTTTATGTTAATCTTTTTAGTATAATAGTCTAATGATAATTGAAAAATTACAATTTTTAATAAGACATTCAATTTGAGATGCCAGAGACGTCTTTTCCTATATTATTATTAATTTATAATTTAAATAGTCGGTTAGTTTTGATAAATTAGCGAATCTTTTAGAGTAATTTTTGTAATTTATTTTTTTAAGTTTGACATCTTATTTTTTTTAGTGTGGTTTAGTCTTTAAAATTAAAATTCGTAAATTTTTTTGTAGAATTTAACTTTAAAACTAAATTGTACGTAAAAAGTGAAATATAAAACTCAAACAAAAATAAATAAATTATAGAGACTAGACTCAAAAATTCACTAATTTACATAAATCAAAAATATATTTAAACATTAATATACATTTAAACATTAATTAATTATATGCACTTCATCTCCAAAATTAGTCATTAGGTTTATGTTTATGATATCATGTTGGTATGTTTTTCATTTATCTTTCAATTTCATTTCTCTCTTTGTCCCTTTCCCCTCTCTCTCTTTGTCCCATCTATTATTTATCATTTTTGTTTGGTGACAATGAGTTTTCATATTTATTACTACTTATTTATTTATTGGGTCTATTATTGTTGAAACAGATCCTTGAAGTGTCTTTTATTCAGCATAGGATTTCTAATACAAAAAAGAAATTTTGTCATTTGTTTTCCAATGAGTTTTGGATAAGTATATAATAATTTGACAAAGGATTATTATGAAAATCAATGATTTGCAATGCACCGATCAACTTATTATTAACAAGAAATATAATACAATAATATGTGTAAAGGGAATTCAATCAAATTAGGACAAATAGATATTTATAGAGATTCTTTTTATTCAAACCCATGAAAATGATATTATAGTATGATTTTACCGAATGTAGAAATATATTTGCAACATCAGTATATATCAAATTTTTTGAAAATGTCTATGAAATTAGTGATATTTTTTAAGCAATGAATATATTATAAGAGTATTAGGAATACTCTAACCCAATTATAAAAGTCGAAATATCTGAGAAAAAAATATTAAAAATCAATTAAAACTAGTGATTTTTTTTAGAGTAAATAACTCAAATTTAAAAAGAATGTTGAACTTACCTGAATTGTATCTAAAGTGTTCAAAAGTTAAGAGGTGTGAAATAAAATGTAAAAAGTAAAAAGATTTGAAAATAAAATTTAGAAATAAAATTAACCAATAGAGAAATATTAAAATTGAGATGTATATGAAATGGTATGAAAGACATGTTTAAAGTTCTTAGAAGTTTGAATATGTTTTTTAGTTTAGAAATATATTTCTAGTTTAGAAATAGATTTAATCACTCTGATTATCTTTCTTTGTTAAGAAAAATTATGATAGTAAAAATATTTATCTGCCTTCTCACTTTTATCATAAAAGAAAAATGAAAAATATATCTTCTACTTTTTATTTATGCAATTATGATCATAGTTGAAAATCTGGAGAAAAAATGTGTTGCACTAACATTAAAAGACTCGAGATTATTTAGGTACCTAAAATTAAAACTTGATCTTTCAATGCAGAAATGTTGTACATTAGCAAACACTAAGTAGTATTTAATAGTGGATGCTCAAAGCATATGTTTGGGACAAATTTATACTTTTTTTCTCTCTCCTAAAAAGGGGGTCTTTCTATCTTATGGTGAGAACAACAAAGGATGATTATTGGGTTGGGTATATTATTAGTAAGTTTCCAATCAAACAATTGATGATGTTTTTTAGTTGTTGGTTTAAATAATAATTTATTGAGTATCAGTCAATTATGTGACAAAGGTAATATTGTGACTTTTGATTTGTCTGGATGTAGGACTATAAAACTTAATTCAAATCAAAATATTTTTACTAGCTTTAGAAGTGGAAACACTTACACCGTGAATTTTAATAAAATTGTTTCAAATGATGCATGTCTTTTGAGTAATAAGGATGAACCGCGTCTATGGAATAAGATAATAGTTTATATATATATGGATCATCAGAACGTACTAGTCTGCAAGATTTTAGTAATTGGTTTTTCAAACTTGCTTTTTGAAAACATGGGCTATGCAATATGGGTCAAAAGGATAAACAAGTAAACACCTCTTTTAAATAAAAAATATTGTTTATACAAATAGGCATTTACAACTCTTCAATATGGAACTCTTTAGATCCAAAACCATGACTTTTAGAGGGAATTACTATGCCCTTGTAGTTGTGGATAAATACTCTCGTTATACATAAACCTTTTTTTTAATCTCATGAAAGAGGTGTGTGTGTGTGTGTGTGTGTTTTGCCTTTTAAAAATTAGCTAAAGTTATCAAGAATGAGAAAGACTTAAATAATGCATCTATTCGAAGCGATCACGAAGTTGAAGTTCAATATGTGGAATTTGATAAATATTACAGCGAGAATGAAATTGATCACACATTTTATGCTCCATGAACTCCCAACAAAATAGGATAGTGGAATGAAAAGATAAATCTCTTGAATAGCTAGCAAGGATGATGCTCAGTGATACTAACTTTCCTAAAGACTTTTGAGTTGATGTACTAAACATGCTTGCTATGTAATAAATTTTATCTTGATAAGACACATTCTAAAGCATATTCCCTATGATTTATGCAGATGAATGAAGTCAAATATTTCTCACTTTCATTTGTTCAGAGGAAATGTCTTGTTCTTAAAAAGGGAAGGACAGTCTTGGAAAATTTGACACTAAAGCTGATAAAGGTCTATTTTTTGGATATTCCATTTCTAGTAAATCTTTTAGAATCTTTAATAAGGTAACCTTGTATATAGAAGAGTTGCTCCATGTTTTCTCAGATGAAACTAACCTCTAGTAGATAGTGTGAAGACATGGCTTCTCAAACAATTTTGATGACGACATACTCTACAACATACAAGGATGGATAAAAGAATCTCAAAGAAATTAAGCTTGAAGAACTTCAATGTCAAATCAATATGTCAAGACTTGTTAAAGAATGAAGACAAAGTTCTACACAAATGAAGGTACAACATTCAACTTCTATATAGCTTGTACAAGTGTTAAACTTCATATCTCATTCTTGCATATCATTTTAAAATCTTTTTAAAACTCTTACAATGCATTTTGCCTCTATTTCAAAGTGTTTTTTTTTGGCAAAACCTGTTCAGAGTAACTGGTTACCTATTCCTGGTAATCGGTTATCCTGTGTAAACTTTAAAATTTTTTCAAACGTTGAGGCCGATAACCGATTACCCACATATGGTAACCGGTTACTACTGGCAATATGAGCCAGAAAATTGCATCTGTTGGCGGCATTCTGTTTTCTCTATTCTTCTTAAACCATGGCAACTCTTGATCATTTGCACTCTTTTAAAAAGGTGTTTAGAGGCATTTATATACCTCGTAATCTCAGACCTTGAGATTAACCTTCTTTCAAAAATTCAAATTTCATTTCATCTCTCAAATTCCAAATTTTCACAAGTGTAAAAAATTCTCAAATTTCAAGAGTGTAACTACTGCATCTCAAATTTTATTATTTCATCATAGTTTCATTCCTCTATTTCTTGAACACTTGTATTTGATATATAAGAGTTGATATCTCAAGAAGAAAATCAGTCGCAAGATTGATAATCGAACACTGCTGCAAACTACACAAAATCAGAATTATTTGTTCTTTGATTACATCTTATTTTTCCAGGATTGTTGAAAATAAGTTTGTAAGGTTGTAACTTTGTCGTCCATGATTGTTGGAAGCAAGAGGTCCATTTTGAGAGGATTGTTCTCATTGGACTTAGTGATAAAAATCCAAGAGGATTGTTCTTGGTGTTTTGATTGGTTAAAGTATGTATAAGAAAGGCTAGGTAGAAGTCTTGTCTTAGGATCTAACAATATTGAAAAATCTCTTTCGTGTTGAAAGAGGACTGGAATACTCTCGGGCTATGAGGGGAACCAGGATACATCGCCGTGTCTCTTTACTTTCTGTTTTTACTGCATTCAACACTTAGTAACTTTTTAGAAAATAAAACAAGAAATCTACATAAAGACCGGAAAAAGTTTTTCAGTGCCTAATTCACCCCCCCTCTCTTAGGTGCAACTCTACTCACAATTGGCATCATAGAA